TTTCTGTGGATCCCTCCATGCTCGGGGGGAGGATCCGGGCTCGGTGGAAGAGGCGGAGCCGCGGAAGGTCAAACCGAGGGAAGGAGGAGGAAAAGGCGCTGATCCCAACCAGCCACCGCCGCCGCTGGATTCCCCCGTCCCCCCCCCCGTCCCGCCGCCGCCTTGGAACGTTCGCCCCCAGGCGGCCGCGCGATTGGCTGCCCGGCGTTCTAACCCCCCCGGGTGGTGGGGGGGGGGAAAGCTGCGACTCAACGTTCTAAACAGGCGCCGAACGTTCTAAAAAGGCAACTCAACGTTCCATCGGGGCGCTTCGGATACACGCGGGGATTTTTTTGCGGGTTTTTTTTTTCCTCCTAGCACGAGGAGGAGGAGGAGGAGGCGACCCTTCCCCCCCCCTTCCTTTTTTTCCTCTCCCCTCTCCTTCTCCATTCGCGACGGGGTTTGCGATTCCGTTTCTCTCTCTTCTTTTCTTTTTTTTAATCCCTCCATTCCTCTCCCCATGGAAGACGTCGGCGCCTTGGTGGCGGCTTACTCCCGGGGCCTGGCCGGCGGCCTCGGCGTGACCGTGTGCGCCGCCGCCGCTGCCGGCGGAGTCTTGCTTTATAAAATCGCGCGAAGGTAAGAAGAAGGCCGGGCTGGGGCTTTGTATGTTTCCTCTCGATCGGAAAGAAGAAGAAAAAAGCGGGGGGGGTGGGATGTGTGTGTGTGTGTGTGTGTGTGTGAGAGAGACCCTCAATGAGGCCCAGAAGCGGGTTTGCATTCTTACGACCTCGTGGGGAGGGGGGCGGGTTGGGGAAGGGACTCCGCGCTCTATCTTAACCTCCCCCTTTGGTTTAATTTCCCCTCCCTCCCCGTTCCTCCACTTCGCGCCTTTATCAAACGCTTAAAAGTTTTTTTTGGCGGGGGGGCGGGGGGGAGGTTGTCTCGCAGACTGAGGAAGACCCGGGGATGTGCTCGGCCCTCCGTCCCCCCCCCCCCCCCCCCCGTGGCTTCAAAGGCGGGGGCGATGGAGGGGGGGGGGAAGAAATCGCCCCGGGGAGCTTTGCAGCCGGCCAGCCCACGTGCGCCTTCAGCATGGGAGGGCAGCCCTTCCGGGTTCACCTTTGCACAAGCCTAGTGTGTATGTGCCTGTGCCTGCCTGAGCGCGTGGTGAATTCAGAGTAGCTCTGAAAAGGAATCTCCGCTGAAATGGCCAAAGATATAATATATATATGTCTCTGTCTGTCTCTCTGTCTGTTTCTTGCTCTTTCTCTCTGTGTCTGTCTGTCTGTCTCTTCCTGTCTGTTTTTCTCTCTGTCTCTGTCTCTCTCTCTCTCTCTCTCTCTCTCTCTCCTTCTCTCTGTTTCTCTCCTGTGTCTCTCTGTTTCTCTGTCTGTCTCTCTCACTCTTTCTGTCTCTGTGTGTCTCTGTCACTGTGTGTCTCTGTCTCTCTCTGTGTCTTTCTCGCTGCCTCTGTCTCTCTCTGTTTCTCTCTCTCTGTCATTCTGTCTTGGTCTCCCTGTGTCTCTCTGTCTCTTTCTTTATCTCTCTGTGTCTCTCTCGCTCTTCCTGACTCTCTGTTTTTCTCTCTCTCTCTGTGTCTCTGTCACTGTGTGTCTCTGTCTCTCTGTGTGTCTTTCTCGCTCTCTGTCTCTCTCTGTCTCTCTCTGTCACTCTTTCTCTTGCTCTCCCTGTGTCTCTCTGTCTCTTTCTTTCTGTCTGTCTGTGTCTGTTTGTCTCGTGTTTCTCTGTCTCTGTCTGTCTCCCTCTGTCTCTCTCCTCTCTCTGTGTCTCTGTTTCTCTGTCTCTCTCTCTCTTCCTGTCTCTCTCTCTCTCTCCCACACATACACACACACTCACTCACTCAACACACCGAAGCTGCAAAAAGCTTGGGGATAAGTTAGCAAATTGGTGTGGCCTACCTTCCAGGGGGGTCGCGAGGAACATCAGAATCTTGAGCTGTGCTTTCCAGTCTGGTTTGCCCCAAGTGGCCACATCTTGCTGGGAGCCAGGTCCCTGGAGAAGCAAGCCGGGTGTTAGTGTGAGATTGTTCGCGTGCAAAAAGCCAACGCTACACAACTTCGCTACAGATTTTCTTTGATTGAAGCTGGGTCTTTTGAGGTCGCATTGGGGTGTTTGGAATAGGAGACCACGGGGAGATCCAAGGGCAGCAGGGTACCCGTGTTTTCCTGAAAATAAGACCCTGTCATATATTTTTTTTGCCACCCAAAAAAGGCACCAGGTCTTATTTTCGGGGGATGTCATCCACTGACTAACCTCACTTGTGCACGTTGCCCCCAGCCTCCTTTTTGGTGTCAGAGGCCTTCAGGAACTTCTCCTGCAGCCAGCAAGGCTTTCCTGAAGGCCTCTGAAGCCAATAACTGCTCAGGATCGATCCAGCAAGACAGGTGTCGGGGTGTGCGAGGCTTGGCTACAACTGTCCTAAGGTAAGTAGTAGGGCAGCTCTACCCCTCTATCCCCACCCTAGCTTAATTTTCACCCGGCCACTCTGGAGATTTCGGGATCTTAATTAGGGCTTATTTTGTGGGGTAGGGCTTATATTGGGTGCACATGTAAAAAATGAAGCTAGGACTTACTTTCAGGGTAGGTCGTCTTTTCAGGGATAAACAGAGATGGGCAAAATATGCTGGCAACAAGATCGATTCAGAGCTCAGTTATCGGCTGCAGAAGCCCCCAGGAAAGCCTTGACGGCCGCAGAAGTTCCTGAAGGCCTCTGACAGTGAAAAGGAGGCTGGGGGTGATGTGCGCAAGTGAGGTTAGTCAGTGGATGACATCCCCTGAAAATAAGACCTGGTGCATTTTTTGGTGGCAAAAATATATATATATATAAGACAAGGTCTTATTTTGGGGGAAACACAGTATGTATAGTGTGCTGGATTGACACATCACTCTAAGCAAGGCACACCTACATACAGTTAGGACTGACCAAGTTTCATCCCGTGACACAAAAACAGATCCTTGACTTATGATCACAATTGAGCCGCACCCCCCGCATTTCTGTTGCAAAATGGAAGATTTGTTCACTGAGTTTGACGAATTTTCTCGCCGCAGCTGTTAAGCCAAAATCCCTTAACAGCTGTGAAGTGAAGTCCCGCGGATTGTTAAGGGAATCTGGTTTCCTCCCCATGGGGAGGCTGCCACAGTCACAAAAGGTGAAAAACTGGTCATAAGTCACTTTTGTCGGGTGCCGTTGTAACTTTGGACAGTCCGTAAAGGAACGCTTGCGAATACCTGTGTGAGATCTAATACTTTTTAAATATTATATTATTAAAATATTAAAACAACACTAATATTTTTGCTCTGAAGTTAGGTATTTTAAGCGATTCGCGGTTTTTAAAAGGGGGGATGACTCAATTTTATTTTTTACAAGAGTGTTGAATAGCTAAAAGTGCTTCAAAAATTTATGCAGTGGTTATATTTTTTTTTTTAAAAAAGGGACCCAGACATTTGACATATTTTTTTCCTCTTTGAGTATCAGAGGACCCATCAACCTGTGATGAACTAGGGTCTCCTGCTTGGGAAGGGGGTTGGACTAGATGACCCACAAGGTCCCTTCCAACTGTGTTTATCTAAATCAGGGGGTCTTCAAACTTGACCACTTTAAGATTTGTGGACTTCAACTCCCAGAATCCCTCCTCCTCCAGTCATGTTAGCTCTGGTATTCTGGGAGTTGAAGTCCACAAGTCTTAAAACTTGCCAAGTTGGAAGACCCTTGATCTAAATTGTCTAAATTTTCCCTAGAAATGTGAAAACACTGAACAGAGCCAAGATCTGCGGCTTAAATCACTCAGAGATGGGAGTTTTATGGGGAGGAAACGTGGCCTGTGGGAAAATAGTATTTTTCTAGCTTGAGGAACAAAAAACGGGTCAGTTCAGAAGGGAGAAAATTTGAGGGATGAGCAGGGAAGCAATTTTTGTCAAAGAGTTAAGCCAAACTCTGGTCTGAGGCTCTTTGGAATGTGATGAATTCTGGTTTCAAGCAAGCTTGTTTGTTTTTTCCTATAGAACCACTGAACAGTTAAGTCACTGGATGTAGAGATGCCCTTTTTTTGCACACTCTTCCGAAAGCAGAACAAATAATACAAAACCGAAAGGTTTGTTTTGTTTCCTTGAATGAAAACAAAGGCCACGTCCTGCAAGTGGATACGAACCTTTTAAAAAAAAAATTCCTTTTGCACTCACGTGATGGGTTACAACTGCTTGTAGGCATGTCTGTCCTTTGGAATTTCTCTATAAAACTAGGCAATACAGGGGGGCAACCGTTAGCCTCCGAGGAAACTGCGAATCTGCTACATGGATTGGGGTCTGCCTCAGTTTTAGAATACAAGTAGTCTCCGTCTTACTCATTTACTGACCAAAGTTGCAACAACACTGGGAAAAAAGTGACTGACGACCGTTTTTCACACTTATAACCGTTGCAGTGTCTCCTCGATCAGGAGATCCAAATTTTGGGCATCTTAACAAATGCCGTGTATTTAATGACAGGTGCAGGGTCATTTCTCAAATTTTCTGACAAGCCTAGCCAAGCTTCACATATGTCAGGATTCCGACAGTTCCCCCCCATTTAAATCGTGAGTCTGGAGCCAAACTTCCAAAACTTCAAAAGGATTTATTGGGAGTTAAACTGTCCAGCACTCCCTGGCTATAGCTGACTCTGAGACACATCATTCATTGTCACCCTTAACCCTGGATTTCCCTCAACTCCTATCGTAACTCATACTCTCCAATGGGACACATCCATAGCCAGGAGTCATCAATCATGTGCTCCTGTTAGATATTTGCTGGCAGAAACTTCAGTCACCTAGTTATTGTTTTTGAAAAACTATGTATGGAATGCACTTTCGACTTCCAAACTGCCGCACTGCTCTTTCAAACCCCTTTTCCCCCTTTCTGTTGGCAACTCTAAAAAGACCATAGAAATATTTCCCACCACCCACTGGTTGTATCGTAATTCATGTTCTCCAATATTCTCCAATGGGACACATCCATAGCCAAGAGTCATCAAGCATGCTCTCCAGTTAGATTTTTGTGGGGCAGAAACTTCAGTCACCTAGTTACTATCTTTGAAAAAACTATGCATGGAATGCACTTTTGATTTCCGAGCTGCCACACTGATATTTCAAACCCCCTTTTTCCCCCCTTCCCTTTCCGTTGGCAACTCTAAAAAGACCATAGAAATATTTTATGAGTTGACAAACGTAACCACTACGTGACTTGGCTTAACGGCAATGCGAAACCTGGCGGTAATTGTGAATTGGGACAAGCAATTAAACGTGAGCCAGCCCCACCCCCGCCAAAAAAAAAAAAAAAGCTAATACAATCCTTGGCTGTATAAACAGAGACCCAGAATCGTGAAATATTAGTACCGCTTTAGAAAGCCTTAGTTAAGGGCACGTCTGGAATGCTTGCTGCATCCAGTTTTGGCCACCACGTTACATAAAAAAAGATGTTGAGACTGGAAAAAGTGCAAAAGAAGAGCAACTAGGGTGATTAAGGGGCTGGAGATAAAAACATATGAAGGATTTGAGTTTGGCTAGTCTAGAGAAAAGGGGGCCAGGGGGTGATATCATAGCAGTATTCCAGTATTTAAGGGACTGCCACAAAGAAGAAGGCAAGACAAGAAAGGATGAATGGAATAATCGAGAGAAGCAACCTGGAATTAAGGAGAAACTTTCTAACACTGAGGACAATTAACCAGTGGAACAGAAGTTGCCACCAGAAGTTGTGGGTGGAGGCTTTTAAGAAGAGACTGGATAGCCATCTATCAGAAATGGAATAGTGTCTCCTCCTTGAACAGGGCGGGGTTGGACTAGAAGACCTCCAAGGACCCTTCCAGCTTTTTTTTCCTGATTGTTTACTTAACGACAGCAAGAAAAGTCATAAAAATGGGGCAAATCTCAGTTAACTGTCTAGATTGGCAGTGAAAATTTTGAGCTCAGTTGTGGCTGTAAGACAAGGATTACGTCTAAGCAGAAGTTGAGGGATTTCCAGTTTAGATTAGCAGTTGGCCGGTGAGGATAGGACAGGCGCTCGTATTGGGATGCTGCCAATCATTCTTTCGGGAACCAATTGCCTATTTCTGAGACTCCTGTCTATTTAATACCCAGTTTGTTAGCGCACTGGAAAGAATGAATTAACATTTTGGTTCTGCTTGAAAGAGCTGAGAAGTGGGGAATCAACGGATAGTGCTTAGCTTGGGGGGAAAATGGCTGTTTATGGCTTATTGAAAAGACGGCTCATTTTTATTATTTCTCATGTGTTTTATTGGGTGCAATAAAAAGGAAATGCATTTAACTTTGGGGAGGCCAGGTCCTTTATTTTCTGTATTTGCACTTCAAAAGTTGGGAAGAAACACTTAACGTACCGAATTAGAAGGGCATTTCAAACACACAGCCAAGGTGTTCTCAGAAGCTGTTTAAAATTAATATTTGCATGTTCTTTTTTTTTTAAAGAACATGCAAAATATTGGGAAATTCTTCTGACTAGCTAACGGCAACAATTAAGGAAACCCTACAATAAAATAATCCTAAACCGGCTCATTTAAACCCTTGAAATGATGTGACAGTTTCCCCTACTGAATCAGATGTTGTAAAAAAAAATAACTTAAAAATTGTTCAGAGTAGGAATCGACAGGGATGGATCTTCTGTTTTTTTTAAATGCTGATGAGCAACATCCTAATGAAAAATAGCGTGGCTTTTGCAGATTTAACGGCAAGCTGATGAAAAAGTTTAAATTGCTTTTTAAACCCCCTTGAAGGGTTCCTCTCGCTGTTGCTGTTTTGTGGCAGCCTTCTTCTGCAAGTCTCTTGATTGTCAAACCCTCGTCCCCAAGCAGTATGGGTTTTGTAGTCCCCCACTTTCAGAAAGCAGCCAAACTAGAGAAAAGAGTGTTTTATAAAAAATACTACGAAAGCCACTTGGGGATCTTCAAGGAAACAGAAGTCGCCCCTTTTGGGGAGGGGATGTCTTTACTCCATGGCAAGAGTCAGCAGTTGCCACCCCTGGGGCAGAGCCACATGGGAACAAGTGTCCAGAAGCTATGGAATCTCCTTCCTGCCATTTGCTGACACCTGTTAGGCAGAAGTCCAACAGGTGCTGACACCCGACCCTGTTTTCTAGGGAGATAGGCAAGGGGGGAATTGGGGCAGCCACATCCCCCTCCCCTTTATTTAAACAGGCCTAGCAGCTGGTCACATGTGTTGCACATGTGCTCATACTGGATTATTATTTTTTTTCAACAAAGGGATCTCTTTTCCTCCACAGACATCAATCCTTTTGTCTTTCCCCTCAGTCTAATTCAGAAAGGAGGGAAAGGGCTTCCTCTATTTTAATTTAATTTATTTATTTTTTTGCTTTCAGGCAGAAAATAGGAAGGAAAAACCTCTTCCCATGAAAAGAGGCGGCCACATATAGGGGCAGGGCTGCCTCTTAGACCAGCCTAGTGGAGACGGTTGCTAGGTAACCCCGAGATGCTTCCTTTGCCAGGCAACGGAAATCACCCCTCCGGAAGAAGCAGGCAGGAAGTGGCAGGGTTACTAGGCAACCAGCAAAAACAACAACAACATGGCTTCTTCAGAAGCAGGCAGGAAGTGGCGAAGTTGCTAGGCAACCGGCACATGGCTTCTCTCCATCCTCCCAAGCCAACAGGCCTTCCAGAATGCCTTGGTGCCATTTTTGGAGCAAAAGGTACCAACGTGTAGTTGGCGATGGGACCCATAAGTTTAAAGTGAAGTCCAGTTTTTTTTGGGGGGGGGCACGAATAAAATAGGGATTGGTCCCTGCTTGTGAGCCCCTCCCCACCCCGACAGAAGGACCATGGCATACCCTCTTGTTTGTGCAAAAATTGTGATTTAAAATATTTTAAGGTGTAAAACTCCTCCTGCAACATAAGAATTGTCCAACTTCAAAGTTGGGGGGGCGATTTTTTTTTTTTATGGCTCTTGATTTCTCCTTCCTGTTTTCCCCCCCTCCCCGCACAGGGCGAAGCCCACCCACACGACCGTCAACTGCTGGTTTTGTAACCAGGATACCGTGGTGCCGTACGGGAACCGCAATTGCTGGGATTGCCCGAATTGTGAGCAGTACAACGGATTTGAAGAGGTGGGCCCTGCCGTTGGATCGGGTGGGCGGTCCCTATTTTGGGGTCCCAGTGGGTTGGGAC